TAGGGTGAGAGGATTCGAACGGCAGAACGTATGGTTGCGCCGCTGGTTTCCTATGCACAACTGTTCTAAAGCGTTTACTGCCCAAGTCTTTGATCACGCGAACGTCTAGGTAGTTAATATTGTCACCAGTCTCATATGTCAACTTTATATTTGGATCTTTGTCATTCATATGTTTGAGAATCTCGAGCATCTCATAAAACGGTTTTTTAGTTGTTATGTAGATGTCATGTCGAAATCGAAAGTATAGTTCTTTTTCACTTACTTATATAGCCAATAGTTCTTGTTCCCAGTCCTGTATGTAAACATCTGCTAAAATTTGCGTGACAGCGCTGCCCATCGCTCCTCCTCTAATTTGCTTATAATACTGATCTTTTAGGATGAAAAATGAATTGTCTAGTACATGACGTAGCATTTTAGCAATAGTATCTATCGAAGTTTCTCCTATTTTTCAAATCTTATTTCTAGCTAAAAACCTAGTTATAGCTTGGACGGACTCTCGCTGGGGGATCATGGTGTAGAGGTCTGTGATGTCAAAGGTGAACTGACGGGTCGCATCCGTGACTTCATACTGCTCAAGCAAGTCTAGAAATTTCAGCGCATTCTCTAACGTGTAATGCGATGTCTATCTATTAAAAATCGGTCGCAGTTTTTAGTATAAAAAAGAAGACAGTTTTGCTGTCGGTGATTTGATTCCACTAACTATCGGCCTTAACGGTTCGCCTACCTTGTGATCGTTTGAATTGGAGTACAAATGAGGCAACTCACAATCTTCCTGGGAGGATTTTAGTCGCTCGTACTGCCGTTGAGATAATTGTTTCTTTCTAACTAACTCACGTAGGAATAAATCAGTATTGTGAATCATTTGTCTAATGGGATTATAAGTAATTTTCTTGTAGGCACTAGTTTTTGCCATATACTCATCAGATTTCTTATCGTATGTCTCTGGTCTATCAAGATGAAAAATTTTTGACTTGTCCGTTTTTCGGAAAATTACCGCCTGTTGTTTCTGTTGCTGTTTGAAGTAATTAATCGCTTTCTTAAAACTTTTGTCGATCTTTTCACGGGAAATCCTATCAAAAATTTCTTTCTTAACTCTAGTAGCAAATTTATCTACTACTTGTCGAAATTTGAGCTGTATCTTATCTCGCATGGCTTCTACTTCATATGACAGACGGCGAAGTGCCGTTTTAGGGTTAGGTTGAACATAAGCAGGACCTTTATTCAGTATTGATCTTTGGTATCCATTCAAATTTAACGCGTAGTTTTTGATCTGGGGAGGAAACCCTATCGCACTAACATGGGGGTGGATATTACTACTACTGCTCATTAACGTGGATTGGTTTTTGGGGCTCTTTTTTCTAAAAAATGTACTTTAATATCGGTTTTAGATTCTGAACGTTCCTTTTGGATCTCGACTATTCTATCTGAATGTGTGAGAATGTTTTTCTCTCCATTGAGATAGGTTCTTATTAATGCTATATTAATGCTATAGATATTCTGATTGTTCCTGAGTTTTAAACTCAATTTTCAATAGATCCCTATGTTTTTTTAAATCAATTTCCGTGACTAAGTGTTTAATTTTCTTATCATGGATAGCTCTTTGTGTCCTTATAAACGGTTCTACTGATTCTTGAATATATTGATTAATCGATTCTGCAGCTTCTAACTGCTGATCTTCTGGAAGGCATAAGATACTTAACATGTCTTTCAGTTTCCGTCTAGCGGCATGAAAATGATGCTTGGAGTTTTAATCTCGTAAAGTAGTGATTTTTAGCCACAATATTCTCAACACTAACTGGGATATTTTCTCGTTTTAGAACTGTGTAGACTTCATTCACACTGTTTATAGCCCATTTAATTTATTATCCACGAATTTAACAAAGTTGTCGGAATCTACCGAGAACGACATAAACTGATTGATTGTGTTAAAGAAAATGTTGTGCTATTCGAACAACAGTTGGAAATCTTCTCTTTCTACAGTCAACACGGCGAGAAAAGTACGAGAGACTTGTCGAAGGCATCTGCCGAATTTCTCTGGTTTCAGCTGTTCAAAGACGTCATTCTGAGAATGACACGTGATAGATAGGCTAAACAACAACTCGTCGACTTCTGTCGCCATTACTATCGAGGAAACAAAAACCAGATGAAAGTGATCGAAGAATTTGAGAGAGAGTATGCACCAGAAAATGCCATTCGGTGGTATACTCGAGAAACATTTCTCCACAAGTTGGTCAACAAAGCTCTGAGGACAGAAGACGTTGAACAGTTGCTCTCGGTTTTGCTATGATCGCATCGAAACAAATGAATGTTATTCCGTACTTTGCGAAGCAGAATGCAGTCTACAAGAAACAGAGTCTGTGGTTTTTGCTAACATTTCTAAATTCAGCGACTTTGCAAATAAACAACAAGAGATTTTGTTTGATCTAGGTGCAGCATTTCAAATCATGTCCATCACGGAGGAAAAAGCGTTAAAATTGTGGGTGATCAAAATGAAAGCAACGGATGAAGGAGCCAAGCTGGCACAGGAGCACATTGAACTGAACAGAAAAGAAATTGACGAAATGAGTGTTGCACTCATGCTCGGGAAACTGCTACGAGAGATGGGTAAATATGAGCAGTCGTTGAAATATTTCCAAACTTTTTTGCAAGATCCGCAAGACGAAGATGTAGCACGAATTTATAATAACATTGAAATTTGTCACAGGCTGAAAGGACACTACACAAAAGCACTAAAAAGTTTAGAACATGCATATCAGTTGATGATAAAACACACACCACCAAGACTAAAAGATTCAGCTAATTCACTGTTAAATATGGGAATTATTTTTGGTGACCTAGGAGAGTACGATAAAGCATTTGAGCTGTATTACAAACCATTAGAGATACAGGAAAAGTATTTTGGCAAAGTACATTTGGAAACATCGAAAACTCTGAATAACATTGGCCTTGTCTATGATGAGAGGCAAGATTATACAAGGGCACTAGATTACTACAGAAGTTGTCTTGAAATTGAACAGAAACTACTGCCCAGTAATCACATTGATATTGCAACGAGCCTTATGAATATTTGAAATGCTTATCACCGTCTGAACGCTTTTGAGTACTCTTGAGTACCAGCAAAGATCGCTGAAGATGAAACAAAAAGTGCTTCCTCCAGAACATAATGACATTGCTTCAAGTTTGAACAACATAGGATTTGTTTTCAGATGTCTAGGTGAATTGAAGCAATCACTGCAGTACTATTTCAGTGCCGTGAAAATTCAAGAGAAAGTCTTTGGTTCAAACGGTCATCCTGTAGTAGCTATGACTCTGCATAACATCGGCCTAGTTTATGAGCATTTGCGTGACTATCTTAGTGCTTCTTGAACATTTTCAAAGAGCTTTAGAAATGGACCTGAAGTTCATACCAGAAGATCATCCAGAAGTAGTACTCGCTAAAGATGGCATCGATCGAATAAAAATACTAATGCACTAGGTTGTTGTGCAGAGCAGCATAACATCTTTAGATCAAATCTTGTTTCTTAGCATAACGATAACGCGTAATATTGTTTTTCTGTCTTCGGAAAAGCGAACTTTAGTATACAGTGATTAGTTTGTGTTTTCTGCTTCCTTTGGGTGTAGCTTCTCTTTGGACAGTCTAAAATCTTAGCGGCAATAAAATCTTTGTTCAGTTTTAAAACTGTGAAGTTGCTTTTTTACGCTGAATAAAAAGTAATCATATCTTCTTTTGCAGTGGCAGGGTCCTTTTTCACCGAACACCAAAAGAAAAAGAAACAATATTTTTTGAAAAACTAAAGTTGTCCCATCGGTCTGAAATTCTATCAGCTCGTAGACTTGTGATTAAGGAGCCCGTAGTAAAAGAACGAACGACAAAAACGTGTTAGTCTAACAACTCCGTAGGCTTACCACTACAAACTGGTGAAATTTTAGATCGATTGGACTACGTGAAAAATGAAAGTTGTCCGATCGGTCTGAGATTTTACCAGTTTGTAGCCTTGTGGCTAAGGAGTGTGTGATAAAACTTTCAGAAATGAGTCTCAAGCACAGCCATTACGCTGCCGGGTCACAAGTTATATGTTTATGATCTAATTACCGTCTGTCACAGTAAAAGAAGAATAACGTGAGTTGTGGGTCACAAGTCACGTTATCCTTCTTTTACTGTGATTTTTTTACTCCAATCATAGTGAGCGTTCTGGTCATCGGAATAGCGAAGAGAGATTCTGAGCTTTTCACATTGAAGCAGGATTGTCTCTTCGTTTCTGTCGTCTTAGAAACTGTTTTATAGCCCAGAAGCAGGAGACTACAAGTTTTTATTTTGACTTTGAAGGGAACAATTCGTAGTACTTCTACTTCCTGTTTTTATTTATTTACGATGACTGCTCGCAGGTCGTTTTTATAGAAATATTCTGGTTACCAGCAAAAAAGGGTGTGAGAACACGTGCTCGAAACCATTACTAGATCTGAATGTTAACTTGCGAGCAGTTATCGTAAATAAATAAAAAGAGGAAGTAGAAGTACTACGAATGTTTCCCTCAAAGTCAAAACAAAACTTGCAGTCTCCTGCTTCTGGTCTATAAAATAGTTTCTAAGACGACAGAAACGAAGAGACAATCCTGCACCAACGTGAAAAGCTCAGAATCTCTCTTCGCTATTCCCGTGACCAGAACGCTCACAATGATTGCAGTAAAAAAATCACAGTAAAAAGGTTTTTGGTAATTGAGTTCTCCATATAATCATTTTAAATGTATTAACATTTAAATTGGCTACACAATTATTAGTTCACGCTCTTCATTATTTCTCAACATTATGCAGTGAAACTATTTGAAGTTTACTATAGCATTAAAGTTTTCTTTTTATAAACACCATATACGATATGTTTGAAGTGTAGTGTTCTTCATAAAATCAATTGTGCTCATGACCGAAATAGAAAGAAAATCACAACTTCGAGACCTTGAGCTCGAGATGATTTTAGACTTTTAACCTGATATTTAACTCCCCGGCGAGTTTTATAGTTCGGTGCTATGCACTATACTAATTTACACATACACGGTCTTCTACTCTTTGGTATTTAGATATATCACATAACAATCAGCCATGAACTAACATCATCTATATGTAGAATCTGCGTCTTCGTCTAAATACTTTCGCTTGTACTGCCAGGCCAAAAGTAACA